TGCCAACTAAATAACTAATTTTTATATTTCAGTCAAGAGACTATATAATTGTAAATAAATTCTTGTTGTTGATAATGACGTCTGACTTCTTTCAGCGAGTTAGTTTACACATTTTAAGTCCAGTTAACTTTTGGATTTCAGTCAAGAGGTTTTGTAAGCTTACTCTAGAATATTCTTTTAGTTGACATCTCACTTCTGACTTAACATATAATCATGTTCCAAGTCCAGATCAGTTGTTAGTTAGATTTGAGTCAAGAGCCTACTGAGACTGTAATGTAAACAGGCAAGAGTTCCGATTCTGATCCACCTAAGAAGGCGTTTTTATAACAGATCTAAGAACCTTTGTCTTATCTTGTCATTAACCAGTGTCATTGTTGTTTACTGACCAATTTCAATTTCTGTCAGTTCCACAGAAAAGTGTGTCCAGGGCAATTTCCATCTAGACTACAAATAAAGAACCAGGTCTGGAGTCATAACAACACAAATAGCAGACTAGTTTAAATGGAACTATAGTGACTAGGGGTTTGGTTTAAAATATCAGATTGTTAAGCTTACTTCAGATAAGTTCAGATAGTATACTAGGAATTTTCATCCCATTTACTGAATGAGACAGTTGTACAGATAGAATGAAACCTTGAAATTTTGATGAGTTAACATTTAAAAGATATTGTAGCTCATGACTAGTATAGATATTAATTACAGTAATTTTATCAAATTTATTCTGATCTCCTTACAAATTGAAGCCATGTTGAGATTATTAAACTGAGATTATCATATTCAGAGTAACAGGATTATAGATACTATGGACTGAAGGGTTATTTTTATAAATGTCTCAGACTACTGTAATATGATTTGGGTTGAAGATAAGATTTCATTTAGATAGAGTAAATGTCTAGCCCCTTAAGGTATTATCTCATCTTACACTTGTTGAAATAAATTGTACTTGGTTTGACAAACATTTAACGCCTTGCCATACTTTGGATGAGATTTAGAAAAATGTCTTGCTTTTTTTTATTTTTACAATCACAAGTATTTTCCATTATTAAATGAATCAAGAAAACTTGTAAGATGATAGCTGTGTAAGCTATACATCCCTTAAGCTCCTTTTACAACTGATATAGAACAGTTTCAACACTACCTTCTCCATATGGAAGAGAATAACCACTATCAATTCAGAACAAAGATACCTCAAAACCACACTTTTACAGCTAGATCTTTACAAGTACCAGAAAGGGCCAGAAGCAATTGCTTACAAAAAATAGATCTTTCTTAACTAAGGGTTCACAGTTATGAAATTTAACATGAACAGGTTTTCCCAATCTTGTCATCTTTACAAGGATTTTCTATTTTTTAATTTAAGGTGGATTTCCTTTTTTTTTTCATGTCAAATTGAGCTATTCGATTAATTGGTTTTTCTAATGAATTATCATGTATTATTCATCAAATCATTATGTCTGGATAAACAAAAAAATAGACTTTTTGACCTTTCTTGATCAGTCACTCATTGGAATTCTGCAGGTAAATTCTCTTCTAATGATTATTCTTTAATTTAGCTAATTATGAATTAATCATGCACATGTATTTTTCAAAGTCATTAGAACACTTTTACTTTCTATTTGTATAATTATTAGCATTTTTATTTTCTTAAATGAAAATAAGGGAACCCATCTTTAATTAAACTCAGAAATAAGGACAATTTTCAAAAATGGCATATTGGAATGAATATCTGATCTGTCATAATCGACAAACTCAGTCCTAAATCCAGTCATTTTTAACACAAGATCAGTTCAGTAAAAAATCAATAAAATTTATTTCATAACTTTTCTTGGAGAAAAACGGAATTGCTAAACAGAGACAAAATCATAATTAAACATTTTGAAAGAACCAATCCTGATTTGAAAATGAACGAAATACTACCTTACTTACATGAAAATTCAGATTACTCTAATATAATAACAGAAGTAGAAAATCTATCAACAAATGAGAAATGAGTATGAGAGAATGGGTAGAATTTGATTGGTTGATATAGAGTGAGAGAAATCAATGAGAGTTGATGGTACTAGGATACAAACTCTACCATATTTAATAGCTCATCTAGATTAGAACTATTATTCTTTGTATACCTTGCGTTTCAATCACTACTGATATTCAGGTATATATATATATATATATAATGGGATATGATAGGACAAATGTTCCACAATTATAAGTTTTTCTCTTGAATATTGTAAAGGTAATACTACTTTTATATTTCACTTTTCAAAAATTTGACTATAAAAACAAAAAGTTGGTCAGTTTTTTAATTTTTTGGTTCTGTAAAATTATTTCAACTTTTCTGTTGTCTTCTTACTTAATACAATTTTTAGATTTTTTGAACATGAATATGGTATTATGATAAGTTGACTATGAAAAATTAAATTAAAAGTTAAATTTTAATAAGCTCTGTTCATTAGTAAACTAATTTGTCAAATATGTACTAGGTACAATAGGTATGTGCAATAGTTTAAAACATTGTGTCAAGAAAGTAAACTAATTTGTCAAATATGTACTAGGTACAATAGATATGTGCAATAGTTTAAAACATTGTGTCAAGAAAGTAAACTAATTTGTCAAATATGTACTAGGTACAAAAGGTATGTGTAATAGTTTAAAACATTGTGTCAAGAAAGTAAACTAATTTGTCAAATATGTACTAGGTACAATAGGTATGTGCAATAGTTTAAAACATTGTGTCAAGAAAGTAAACTAATTTGTCAAATATGTACTAAGTACAATAGGTATGTGCAATAGTTTAAAACATTGTGTCAAGAAAGTAAACTAATTTGTCAAATATGTACTAGGTACAATAGGTATGTGCAATAGTTTAAAACATTGTGTCAAGAAAGTAAACTAATTTGTCAAATATTTACTAAGTACAATAGGTATGTGCAATAGTTTAAAATAGTTTGGAATATGTACTTGGAATAATGTGTCAAAAAGATAAAATAATTGGTCAAATAAATAATCTATCATACATCATACAGAAAAATGTAAATTGCAATAATTTACACAGCATTTTTAAGAAATAAGAATAGTAAGAAATGCAGGAAATAGAGCACTTCCTTAAGCATAAAATTACTTAAAATTATTCCAAAATTAAATATAAAAAATTTTTCACAATCTTGATACATCTATTATATAAATCTTGACAGCAATTTTTATCAGAATTAGATAACACTGCTTGACAAATTGCTCTAATATTAAATTATAAGAAATAATGTTTTGTAGAATATTATATGAAATATAATTTTGACGTAGAAATGTCAACTTGTTCTTTCTATAATTTCAATTTGCTAGATATATCAACTTTACAAAACAAGTATAAAATGTTTGCTGATGTTATTTCATAATGTCACAATGTCATTATGTTTCAACTCTCACTTTGTCCATTACCACCTGTTTCTTCATTTTTTATGTCCTTGATAATGTAAAATTTTTTTATTTTTCAAATGTCATTAAGTTTGAATTTGTTGATGCAACTTCACCAGTGTAAAATTACAAGTATTAGAAGCATATTTAAGTGTCTGAAATGAATTTTAAAGGTTTTAAATCACTTTTCAAACAAAATACAACATTTGGACACTAAAAGTTGAAATTACTTTTCAATAACTAAAGGTGAAATTACTTTTCAATAACTAAAGTTTAAATTACCTTTCAAAAACTAAAGTTGAAATAAACTTTCAATAACCAAAGTTGAAATTAACTTTCAATGACTAAAGTTGAAATTACTTTTCAATGACTAAAGGTGAAATTACTTTTCAATGACTAAAGGTGAAATTACTTTTCAATGACTAAAGTTGAAATTACTTTTCAATAACGAAAGTTGAAATTACTTTTCAATAACGAAAGTTGAAATTACTTTTCAATAACGAAAGGTGAAATTACTTTTAAATGACTAAAGTTGAAATTACTTTTCAATAACGAAAGTTGAAATTACTTTTCAATAACGAAAGTTGAAATTACTTTTTAATAACTAAAGGTGAAATTACTTTTTAATAACTAAAGGTGAAATTACTTTTCAATAACAAAAAGTTGAATTCACTTTTCAATCTTACAAAATTTTAATCATCACTAATATAATTACCAGTTGCATATGGTTGCAAAATAAGTAAGTTTCCAACGCAAAACATAACTCAGTTGCATTCGACTGTTATTCTTATCCAGAACAATATGTAACTGGTAAGCACTATGGTGTGAGGGCACTTAAACCACATATAGAGCTAGTGACTATTTTATTGTTAATGTAACAGAAAATCATAATCAATCATAATTCAGTTTGATTTTTATTGCATTAGTTCTTGTCCAGTGACACAGTAAAAAGTCCATTTTATAAACTAAGAACCATGAAATTCCAATTTCCATTTCAACTGAGACAAAAGATAATATTTTATTAGGAATGTAAAGTATTCTACGGAAATAAGTTAATATTGAACTATTTTATGTAATTTTATTTTTATTGAAATGATAAAACTTTATTTGACAAAGTCAGACAACTTGAAGCTTTATCAAAACATAATAAATGCTAGAATAACCTGATGTAACTGTGTAGACATTTTTATTGAAAAGTTATAATGATGTGGTTTATCCAACTCTACATCTTTTTCTACATCATCAGATATTGTTTTTATTACAGTTATAACACGCTGGTCTCAAATTGGAATTTGTAAATCAGAAAATTCAAAAAGAAAATATTTCCCTGCAATTAATCATTTTGCAAAACAGAAATTCAAAGATCAAACCAATTTCATTTCCGATCTCTAAGCCTTTTCTCAATCAAAAGAAATTTTTTTTTGGTGATATAAATAGATCAAGCACTTTTTTTTTTGTTTAATCTTATGTAAATTTAGCAGAGTTTTTTTCTTTAATTTCAAATAAATTTTATTTACCATTTTTTTTTTCAGAGTTAAAGAACTTTGTCAATTTTGTGATATGTTTTGAAATTACTCAATAAATAAATCAAAATGGAAATGCCAGCCGAGATGCCTAATTATACTGATATTGAGAGAGAACAAGCCTTACACAACTATTCTCAAGATTATGATAATTCAGGATTAGATTTTCTTTATGAGAACTTACGGTCTGAATCCTACCCTAATGTTGTGATTTTAACAGCTTTACTGGGACTGTTATTTCTGATTGGTACTATTGGTAATATATTAGTAGTAGTTGTATTCGCTAGAAGTTTTGTGAAACATAACTCAACCTATCTAATTCTTACCTTAGCTGTAGTAGATTTGACTATTAATTTAGTCAATATTCCAGGGGTACTGTTAAAAGAATGGTACTATCCATTCCGGAGTGATACTGTTTGTAGAATGTGGGAATTAATTCAAATGGCAACAATTCCAATATCTGCCTTGATCCTTGTAGCCATCGCATTTGATCGCTACTTTCTCATTTGCAAAGCCTTTAAAGGGCCCATTCCTTTATTTTGGTCTAAATTATTTCTGTGCTGTGCAATTATTATTGGATTAGTATTAGGAATTCCTCCAATGTTGGCAGTTGGCGTACATCAGGTTAAAAACAGCGTTGCTCCACCTACCAGCGAGAACCTTTATTATATTGGATTGTGTGAACCTAACTTTATTCTTATCAAATCGGACACTTTGAAGAATTATTGGATTTTTTTGACACTTCTGTTTATATTAATAATTATGATACTGACTACCTTATATGTCTTCATTTTTCTCAAAGTTTATGAACAAAGTAAGAAATGGAACACAGCTAGAAATAACAAAGTCAAACCAAAATCCAGGAAGAAGATGGATATGCTTGATGATGAGAAGAGACAAAATGGTGGACTTCCAAGAATTAATTTTCGTGGTTTAAATCGATTTACAAGGTTATTTCGTCAGCGAGTGGATGAGAACTGTTTTGATAGTAAAAATAACGTGTTTTTGGTCACTATCAGCCCAATAGAGAATCAAGAATCTACAACCTGTCATAAAGAATATACTGCTATAGAACAGATTTCACCGGAATTACTGTCTGATAAACGTAAACATCATGTTAGATCAGAAAAAACGAAGAATAACAACAACTCAGCAGACAGCAAACCACAAAAACAGAAATCTAAAAGGGTGAAAAATGGTTCGGAAAGTCATCGTCAAAAGAAAGCTCATGTGAAAACTGCGTATGTTTTGTGTATCGTGACATTTATATATATTATATCATATCTACCAACTTTCCTTATAACTCATAATGTGATTACTGGCAATATCTTCTTATTCTACTTTTACTTCATTCATAGTGCATCAAATCCTGTAATCTATTCCTTCATGAACGTACAATTTCGAAATGAAATCAAAAGACTTTTTACGAGAAAGAAAATTACAATATAAAGCAGAATGAAATGAAATGAAAATTAGACATTTACATCATTCCAAATGGAAAGACTGCATTATGTGATGTACACTAATTTTGGTTGAACTTTCGTCAGATGTTTAAAATGTGTGTAATTCTTCAACAGTGCTCACTATTCAAGGTTAACTCTGACAAACATCGCAGACAAGTTCATAAACAAAACTTGTTTTTCAACTCATCTAGTTTTAAAGTGCATGTTATATTCGTGACCTTTGAATTGAAAATATGAGATTAACAGAAGTTCATAAATTATCATTGATTTTTAGTCTAATTACCATACAGATTGTTAGTTTGGTTGAGACTCCATGTATTAAAATGAATGAAATTGACCCAAAGAAAATTTGTGAATTAAAATATCCAGATCTGTATTTGGAGAAAAAGTTTTGGCTTGTTGACAATGGAAATTAAGATAGTATGATAAGTGAATATTATGAGAGGCATGTTGTGCAATACTTAAAAATTGTCAACATTAAGATATAAGATTATAGTCAGTATAAATGAGAATATTATGCGAGGCATGGATAACGTACATTCCTTTTAATTCAGAAATGAAAAATTATCGGATTTTTGACTGAATATATCGTAGAGTAAATTGTTGTGTTTGTTAATAAATTGTTATTAATTTTATGATTGTTCATACATCTAATGTTAATCATTATACATAAACATTTACATTTTAAACTTTATTATTTGAAACATGTGAAGTTGGATCAACTCATACACTTGGTTAGCCCAGTGGGCTGGTTTAGAGGGGTTTCACTGTACTACATTAAGAAGCCAGTTTGACACTTGCTCACTAACCTGCATATAGGAGCAGCAGGGGCTCAGTGAGTTAAGACACTTGCTCACTAACCTGCATATAGGAGCAGCAGTGGCTCAGTGCGTTAGACACTATTGATTGCCAACCTGAAGGTCCTGAGAGTTCAATCCCAGCATAGGTTAGGATAATACCTTCAGATTTATCAACCTGGTTTCCCCTTGTCAGTGATGCAGGTAAGCGGGACTGGCATAGAACAATAAACCAAGGCCCTGTGTGCAACAGACGGTGCATGATAAAGACCCCTTGACAATTGGAAATTGAAAAAGAATAGTGTAAAGGTGCTGTCCTGGCAAAATTTCCCTCATTATACACTGCCTGGCCATGCCTGTCTTCATTAACTCATAAGGAGCAGAAAAGTTAATTTCATTTCATCGTAATTTAAAACAGAACTATAACCAATAAATACAGAGAAAAGTTAAGTAGGAGCCTTGAATTTTACCCCATCTTATCAACCATCTTCATACTATACCAGTTGACCGTGATAGAGTTTTGTCTTGTGCTATATCATTCAAAGTGTTCATCTATAAGTCATTAGCTTTGTGCATGTTCATTTTGAATAGAAATATGAATTCCATGTTGTCTTTAATTACTTCATTAATGTATAATATTAGATACAAAAGCATTTCTTGCATTTCGCCAAACATGAAACATGTAGTTATCTCTATCTTAAATGTCATAAGGCAAAATATTGTTAGACATCCAGATATGTTATTGATATTAGACATTTATTTCTGAATTTTCACATTAATTGATGACCTGACATTTACCTGCAAGATCAACTGAGCCATCAACACTCTACTTTTTCATCCAGGAGGATTAATCAGAATGGAATCAAACATAATGAATACATTAGTTTTCTAATTAAAAATGTCATTATTTAAACCTCAGTCTGTTATCTTCTGAGTAATTATAAATATTTGCCGTCAAAAAAGCAGACTAGTAAATCTTGTGAAAATCAACATTAAAATGACATTAATTTTGATTTTTTTTTTAGTCTGATGACGAATATATATGTCCTACTATTCTATTTATTAACTAATTAAATTATATTTAAATTTACTATTCCTCTGTGATTTGTTGGAGAAACAAAATGCATTTGTACATCCTGTTTTTCTGTACTTTATATTAGGCTACCAAAATTATACTTTTACTTCTCTGAATTGTTGGGCCAAAACTAACCAAAGGAGTGGAATCTCCATCTTTCTGTGCAATTCATGATATTTATGATTGTGGTTGTTGTTGAAATCACCACATCCTAATGATAAACAGAAATAGAGCTGATCATGGTACACTGTATGATAAGTGATAATTACACTAGCCACTATTTTATAATCAAAGAAGGTGTTAGTACCATAACAAGTGTGTATTGTCATTTATTATCAGGTTATTATCACAATGTCATCAAATCATAATAGACCAGCACCTACGCTTTTTTTAGCCTAGCCATATTAAAATAATAGTTGCCAGCACCCCCAAAGGCCGAGTTTAACCGCCATGTCTTACAACTCTAATAGATCTTACGAATTATCAACTACCAAACCAACAGCACAGAATCATCCAATTTGAATCAATCCAACTACCAACTATATACATGACTACCAACTACTACCTAGTTTGCGATATCAATATCTGCTAGAAGCTAACATTAACTTGTCATCTACCAACCAACCATCAATAGTTGTGATACCATGAGCCAGAGAAATGAAAAACAATATTGAATGGTTGAAGACTGATTTGATGAAATCCAGAAGCTTGCTACACCTCTAATATGCTAACAAGATACAATAATGCATACTTTTTGAACAGTTTCATGTTTAGTTATTGGAAGTATATTCAAATATTGATGAGGTGATCGACACACAAAATATTCTGATGGTATTAAAAAAGAAATAATTGAAAAAGGTTTTGGCATGAGTTGTTGATGGAAAAGAAAACATATCCTAAACCATTTGTATATTTAACTATATTCAATCCATATCAAGTTTCAATTGTTAAACCTTTGTACAGAATGATTCAGTCGTTAAATGGACAATAAGGCCAGACTGACCATACAACTAATCAACTGTTGTTGTTTTAAATCTGTAGACTAGAAATTAGGATTAGTTTCTATGGTGAAAGTAATCATTATCTATTGTAAGAGTAAAAACCTTTGATTCCATACAACTAGTGATTATTAATATAGGTAGTACAAACACAGATACTCCCTCTAACCTCAAAAGATGTGTTCATTTGAATCTTCAATAGAAGATGAATCTTGTGTATGCTCTGGAGTGGTATAATTCACTGTTTTAAGGGATCGATTCGCCATTTACCCTGATTGATTTGGGTCTTTATATGTAAATAGCCTTCAGAAATACTCAAAATGTGCAAGAATGATATGAATCTTTCAAAAATAAACTACAAATCACTATTTATTTTAATAGATGGCACAGTCAAGTCATTTTACCTTTCAAACGCGGATAATTCTGGACATACATGGATTTGAAGACTCAAATTTCTACGTTTAGCTGTGAACACTTATACTGATTAGCTCAGCTGATATCATCAAATTTCTGAGACTAAGCTAGACCAATAATCTGATACATTTTGAAAAAAAATAGTATAAAACTGCTAGCCTAACTGAATTGACTTGCAAAAAAAAAACCAGATGAATAAAGCGGGTAAAACAGTTTTTTTTCTACATCCCAAATAATCAATTTACACTATAAATTTAATTAATTTTATTTATATGCATCAGTAAAGTTAATCAAAATATATAAAATATAGGTATAATTTCTAATAACTTAACTTCAACTCTAATTATTATAGCTGAGTGATTGAGAAAAGCATTAAGAGCTTTCAGAAATGCATCATTGCATCTACAGCATATATAATTAGATGAAATATAGCCTCTATTAGACTTCTTTCCTTACATAATGAACCTACCAGTATCTGAATAATTTTATAATTAGAAACAATGTGGTTCCTACTGGGCTTTCTCCACAATTGGTTTATTAGAAAGCAAACATTTTAAAGAAAACTGGACAGCTTGTATCCTTATCTGAATGTCACAATGCTATTTGATATGTTTTGAGATATAGAATCTGACATCATGCTAAGTTATAAATATGTGAAGGCCAATATAATACAATTTCATCTAATCAAAATCTATTACCTACAATAATGCACTCGGCACAATGGTGTTGTTGAACACAACATTCTGATATTTCTAGCTCTATTCACTCAATATCAAATATCTAAAACAAACATTTACCATTATCATAGAACAATTATCAAATATACAAAATCACTTCTATATCAATTTACATTCAATTCTATATTCAGATTTTAATTCTATGATATATATCATCAATTTCCTTTTATATTTCAATCCAATATCACAGATGGAAGATTTCGACCAAAAATATCAAAAAATATAAAATAGTTTAAATTTAATTTTAAACTAAATTTGTACGATGAGTTCTGGGTTTGGGACAATATACTTTCTTTCAAGACTATCACAAGGTATGTCATAACAAGTTCTTGAAGATGAGCAGTAGGGCAGTCAGAGCATTTCAAGTTTGTTTGTTATTTTAGTAGTAATAGTAAATATGTACTGATAATATCGAAGAAGACAGGATCTCAAGTTTTTATCCTTGTAAAAAAAACAATTTTTTTTAATGCTTTCTCTGAAAGAGTGACATTAATTTTGTCCATTACATGTCATAGGTTTTCATGAAAGAAGACCATCAGTAACATGTCTACCTGTCATTCAGAATGCCAAATAGATCTGTTATTATTGGAGTGGTATAGGCAAATTAAATGATTTCCTTAGAATTTGGCTGTATAAGTGTTTACTTGCAATTGAAATTGTTAAAGCTAATCCTCATTGAAGCTAGGGTACAGGCAATATATTTGACTGGATAATAGAGCTGAGAGGGTTAATCTGCCATGATAGATATCCTATGCTGATCGACAAATAAAAACTTTAAATTCCTCATGACCTTAAACAAGTCTGGTAATGATATATTATTGTCTGTTAACCTACCATTTATCACTCTGACAACTTAAACCATAATCATAACCTTCATACAAACGCAAAATATTAATTTATTTAGTCTGCAAATCTTGGGACAGGTCAAATGACATCCAATCATAAGCCATTTAAATGCTTGTAGA